TGACCTGCACGCAGGTCGCCGCTGGAGGAGACCACAGTGTTCCCGCGGCCGCTGGATTTCTGCTCACAGCGCTTCTCAGGAGCGACGGCATCGCCGTGGCCTGTGGCGAAAATGAATATGACCAGTGCGACCTGCTGGCGCTGGTCGCGGGGCTGACCTGCACACAGGTCGCCGCTGTAGGAGATCACACAGCGTTGCCCAGGAGCGACGGCACCGCCGAGGCCTGCGGCGACAATGAGCATGGTCAACGCGACATCCCTGCGCTCCTCACGACGGAGACAAATGTTTTCCTCACACGGTCCGTTGGTGTTTTCGTATACAGATTGGACCATCGGTTGTTTCAGACCATCCTGCGGTGCTGGATCCTCGCTTTCAAGAGACAGCGACCCGCGTCTCTCCTTCTCCCTCCCTTTCTCCTCACCCTCCCCCCTCCTCCTCCTGTCACCCCCCTCACTCGTCTCGTGGCCCCAGAAGGAGCTCCACCGAAGGTCCCAGTGGCGCAGTCCGCATGCGGTTCCCCCGCCCAGTACAGCGTTTCGTGGCCCCAGAGGGAGCTCCACCGAAGGTCCCAGTGGCGCAGTCCGCGTGCGGTTCCCCCGCCCAGTACAGCGTTTCGTGGCCTCGGAGGGAGCTCCCGATGGCGCAGTCCGCATGCGGCTCCCCCGCCCAGTACACCGTTTTGTGGCCCCAGAGGGAGCTTCACCGAAGGTTCCAGTGGCGCGGTCCGCATGCGGTTCCCCCACCCTGTACAACGTTTCGTGGCCCCAGAGGGAGCTCCACCGAAGGTCCTAATGGCGCAGTCCGCATGCGGTTCCCCCGCCCAGTAAAGCGTTTCGTGGCCCCAGAGGGAGACACCGTTTCGTGGCCCTGTTGGGAGCTCCACCGAAGGCCCCAGTGGCGCAGTCCGCATGCGGTTCCCCCGCCCAGTACAGCGCTTCGTGGCCCCAGAGGGCGCCCCACCGAAGGCCCCAGTGGCGCAGTCCGCATGCGGTTCCCCTGCCCAGTACAGCGTTTCGAGGCCCTATTGGGAGCTCCACGGAAGATCCCAGTGGAGCAGTCCGCATGCGGTTCCCCCGCCCAGTACAGCGCTTCGTGGCCCCAGAGGGAGCTCCACCGAAGGCCCCAGTGGCGCAGTTCGCATGCGGCTCCCCCGCCCAGTACAGCGTTTCGTGGCCTCAGAGGGAGCTCCCGATGGCGCAGTCCGCATACGGCTCCCCCGCCCAGTACACCGTTTCGTGGCCCCAGAGGAAGCTTCACCGAAGGTTCCAGTGGCGCGGTCCGCATGCGGTTCCCCCACCCTGTACAACGTTTCGTGGCCCCAGAGGGAGCTCCACCGAAGGTCCTAATGGCGCAGTCCGCATGCGGTTCCCCCGCCCAGTACACCGTTTCGTGGCCCCAGAGGGAGACACCGTTTCGTGGCCCTATTGGGAGCTCCACCGAAGGCCCCAGTGGCGCAGTCCGCATGCGGTTCCCCCGCCCAGTACAGCGCTTCGTGGCCCCAGAGGGCGCCCCACCGAAGGCCCCAGTGGCGCAGTCCGCACGCGGTCCCCCTGCCCAGTACAGCGTTTCGTGGACCTGTTGGGAGCTCCACCGAAGGTCCCAGTGGCGCAATCCGCGTGCGGTTCCCCTGCCCAGTACAGCGTTTCGTGGCCCCAGAGGGAGCTCCACCAAAGGTCCCAGTGGCGCAGATCGCATGCGGCTCCCCCGTCCAGTACCGCGCTTCGTGGCCCCATATTGGGGCTCCACCGAAGGTCCCAATGGCGCAGTCCGCATGCGGCTCCCCCGCCCAGTACAGCGTTTCGTGGCCCCAGAGGGAGCTTCACCAAAGGTCCCAGTGGCGCAGATCGCATGCGGTTCCCCCGTCCAGTACAGCGCTTCGTGGCCCTATTGGGATCCCCACCGAAGGTCCCAATGGCGCAGTCCGCACGCGGCTCCCCCGCCCAGTACACCGCTTCGTGGCCCCAGAGGGAGCTCCACCGAAGGCCCCACTTGCGCAGTCCGCATGCGGTTCCCCCACCCTGTACAACGTTTCGTGGCCCTGTTGGGAGCCCCACCGAAGGCCCCACTTGCGCAGTCCGCATGCGGTTCCCCCGCCCAGTACAGCGCTTCGTGGCCCCAGAGGGCGCCCCACCGAGGGCCCCAGTGGCGCAGTCCGCACGCGGTTCCCCCGCCCAGTACAGCGTTTCGTGGCCCTATTGGGAGCTCCACCGAAGGTCCCAGTGGAGCAGTCCGCATGCGGTTCCCCCGCCCAGTACACCGTTTCGCGGCCCAAGGGGGGGCTCCACCGAATGTCCCAGTGGCGCAGTTCGCATGCGGCTCCCCCGTCCAGTACAGCGCTTCGTGGCCCCAGAGGGAGCTCCACCTAAGGTCCCAGTGGCGCAGTCCGCATGCGGCTCCCCCACCCAACAACGTTTCGTGGCCCCATATTGGGGCTCCACCGAAGGTCCCAATGGCGCAGTCCGCATGCGGCTCCCCCGCCCAGTACAGCGTTTCGTGGCCCCAGAGGGAGCTTCACCAAAGGTCCCAGTGGCGCAGATCGCATGCGGTTCCCCCGTCCAGTACAGCGCTTCGTGGCCCTATTGGGATCCCCACCGAAGGCCCCAGTGGCGCAGTCCGCATGCGGTTCCCCTGCCCAGTACAGCGTTTCGAGGCCCTATTGGGAGCTCCACGGAAGATCCCAGTGGAGCAGTCCGCATGCGGTTCCCCCGCCCAGTACAGCGCTTCGTGGCCCCATAGGGAGCTCCACCGAAGGCCCCAGTGGCGCAGTTCGCATGCGGCTCCCCCGCCCAGTACAGCGCTTCGTGGCCCAATAGCGCAGTCCGCATGCGGTTCCCCCGCCCAGTGCGGCGCTTCGTGGCCCCAGGGGGAGCTTTACGGAAGACGAGCCACACCTGCGGTACTCATTATTGCATATAATTGGGTTCTTCGCCAGGCTATTTGCCATACGTGTTTGGAGAAATTATTGTGTCACGCTTTGGAAATCACTTGTTTCAGGCGGATTTGACACGCTTGCGTGGCGACGAGCGCGCATGTGACCCGCATGGTAGTATGTAATACGGATTCGTGCACTGGGCGCATGCTGAATCAACGCGGATGCACCGCATGGTGAAACGAGAATGCGGGTGCTGGGCCGCTTTGGCATGTTGCAGTACTTGTGATGGGAAACGTAAGGGTGTGTGAGGTGTGTATGTTGAAATCATTGCAGAACTGGTGTGTTTGCTATGTCTTCGACATGTGCGCGCGCGTCGGCTGTGTGTGTTATTGTGTACACGGGATTCAAAAACTGTTTACTGCAATCAGCGGGTGTGTGCGCGCATCTGCTTAGTTCTTAGTTGGCAGGGATATGGGGGGGAGACCGCTGCGGCTGGGATGGAATGGTCTGATCACACATGAAAAATAAACGACGGGGCAAAATCATATGCATTTCGTCATGTCCCAAGGTGTGCCGATAAATCTGGGGGGAGAGGGTGGTAGAGCCCGTCCTTCTTATGAAAGAAGAAGAATGTCTTTGGTGCGAGCTATACAGTGCAAGAGGTGCACGCTGCGTGGTGCCAGCTGTGCGGCGCAACCTGTGTGGTGTAAGCTATTATTGGGTTTCTTAATAATAATGTTTTCTTTCTAATTGTAGGAAGGAGATGGAGAACCGCCGCGAAGCTCCACAGGCTGCCACAACGCGCCCGCTGCCTGTTGAAAGCGCCAGCCAAGACGAACAAATGCTGCCCCCCCGGGAAAAGACAGCCGCCAACAAGAGGAGCCACCTGCGACAACTATGGCCCGGGCGAGCTGTCGGGGATGGGGCGGAAATTCGGGCAGTTATAACGATACGAATTCACATGAAAATGTACCGGCGCTGCGCCTAGAGCAAGGCGAAACGAGGGGAGGAGGAAGAGGAAGGAAGAGCCGAGAGACGTGCGCGTCCCCGCTCAGCGCAGCCAGTGAAACAGTGCAATGCCGAACTAAGGGAAGAAGCAAGAGGAGACAAAGAGAAAGAGAGAGAGAAGAAGACAAAGGAAGACAGAGAGAGGACAACACGATCACAGATACCAGGCTCCACGTGCACGAGATAAAGTGAACAGTCAGGCCAACAGCTACACGAGATGTCGCCTGTAAAAGAAAGGGCAAAGGCGTGTTTACTCCAGATGCGGGCGCCCTAGCGCCCTGGAGGGCCTTGAAACCCTAGGGGCGGCGGAAAAACAAGCCCGCGCCCTGAGAGCAGGGGCGGGGTCGGCAGTCCGCGGCCGCGAAGGGGCCCGCTAGACATGCAAACTACAATCACGCTGACACCGGACATGCAAGAGAGAAAAAAAAGAGGAGGGGTAAACCTCGCCTCGTCGTCGCGCCGCGACGGGGGTCGGAGCGCCTTCGGCGCGCGGTGGCTGCCCGCGACGCGTGTCGATGTGGGGCTTTCGGCGCGGGTGACGCCCCCCCGACGCTGATTAAGAAACTCGGAGTAGGTGGCGCAAACCCTGCCGCCCAGGGCCTGGGGCGCCCACGAGGCGCTCACGAGGCGCCCACGTGGCGGCCACGGGCGAGCACTAGGCGAAACCTCCACGCACCTACCGTAGGGGCCCGGCCACAAGAAACCTTCCACGAGAAACCCGAGACACCCAAGAAACCCAGGGGCACCTTGGAGGCAAGCGGGGTGTTCCTTGGCATGGGCTCCCACTCCACCAGCAGCGCAGAGACGCCAACGCGCCCGGGGCGCCCACGTGGCGCCCACGAGGCGCCCGCGTGGCGGCCACGGGCGGGCGCCAGGCACTGCTGAGGCGAAGCCGGCCACGGGCGGGCAGGCCCAGCGCAGAGGCGTCCACGGGACGCCCACGACCGGGCACCAGAAACCTCCTCCTCCTCCTCCTCCTCCTCCTCCTCCTCCTCCTCCTCCTCCTCCTCCTCCTCCTCCTCCTCTCCTCCTCCTCCTCTCTCCTCCTCCCCCTCCTCCTCCTCCCTCCTCCTCCTCCTCCTCCTTCTCCTCCTCCTCCTCCCCCTCCTCACGGGGCGGCCTGGGAGTGCAGGTCGTGGCGCGAACACCACTCCTCGGCGGCCGGCCCGGGGGGGGGGAGGGGGGGGGGGCGGCGGCGGTGCGCCGTGCCTCCCGGGACATCGGCGGGAGGCCGGATGCGCGCGCGAGGGGTGGGGGTGGGGTGGGGGGGACGATCCATCGGACAATCACATTGGTTAATGCCCCGCGGGGCTATGTCCGCCCCGCCGCGAGCGCCGCCACCCCGAAGGGCCAATGGGCAGGGCCGAGGATCGAACCTCGGTCCTCGATCGAGGACCAGGTGACCAGGCTCCCCAGTCGGGACTCGATCCACTCGGTGCTCTATCGACGCCTGGGTTCTCCACTAGGGGCTCGATTCTCGATCATCGATCGCGCCCCGATCGAGGATCGAGGATCCAACATCCTGGACGCTTTGGGACCCTCCCTCTCTGGTTGCTGGGGGGCCCAAAGCGGCCCCAGAGACATCCAGGGTCCAGAGTGGGCGACGACGTCCCGCCTCCATGGCGCAGTGGCCGTGTGAACTACCAGAGCTAGTTGCTTCTTGTGATGAATGGTGTGAAGAGAGCACGAACGGTCCTCCTCCTCCTTCTCGGCACGCCCGTGGTTGCCCATGCCGTACATGTGCGCAGCCGCGGTGGCGGCGCCAGCCGGCACGATCTTGTCGAAGAGCTGCACGGGGCAAGGGATAGCAGGCAACTTCTAGGAGATCTTGGTAAGACGGACTAGAAGTTATTCATTTTAGCCTGGCCAATAGGCCATTCATCTGGATTAGCCCAGAATAAACCCGAAGCCATAATTAGCCAAAATAAACGGGATTAGGCGGAGCTCATCGGGATTATGCAACATGTGGGTGGCTTTCGACAAAAAGGATACAATACCTTCAATGCTGAGTTTAACTTCTCAGGAGATCCATCCTAACGAGGGAGAGATGAGTGCGGGGAGGAGGGGAGATAAAGGACAACGAGGGGGAGCGCGACGAGGGAGGAGGAGCGAGCGACCCCAGATTGGAAATAAGCTCCCCCTACCAGCGGCAAATTAGCACGTCGAACCGAAAAGCGCAGAAGCGGGTCTCGACTTGACGGCGGCAGGGCTCGGAGCCGTCGTGCCCCGGCGCCGCACGCCCGCTTGGGAGAAGACAGGTCAAATTATTTGAGCTTTTGTTCTTTTTGCAACCCTTTGGTCTGTCAAAGCCTCGTGAACGCGGACTTTGGTAAACAAGGACGCTGATACACCCGAAGCAAACAACGCAGCCGTGAACCGAGCCGTTCCACAATTCTTCGTCTTCGCCCGCTGCGTCGCGGTCAAAATACGCGTTCACAGAGTCCCAATGTGTCCTGGGCCTCGATGTTTGCCCCAGGGGGCGTCCGGAGAGGGGGGACGGAGGCAGGATGGCGACGGAGGGGCACGTGGGGGACGGAGGACATGCTTGTTCCCTGGTGGGTTGGGAGCGCGTCGCAAAGCGCAGCGCGAGCGGAAGCAGAAAAACTGGAGAAGAAAGACGGACGAATGCTGGCCGGCTTTAGCTGGAACCATGGCACCGGGTGCCCCCCAGTGAAAACGCTCACCCCCGTCAAGGATGAGGAGGCCAATCTTGAAAGAAACCAAAAAAAAGAGCCGGCCCCCTTGTGGGGCCACCAGGCTGTAGGACCAGGGTTTGCTGTTCCCTGCGCCAGTTCCAGTTTCCAGTTTCCACTGTTACAGTATTGCTTTATGCTGCTTATTGTTCCTTGTTGTAGAGCGCGCGAGGGGGGGGGAGCCCAAAAGCACTCTGGTTAGCACCTCCTGGGAGGGTTCCCAGAATCTCTGAGGGGGTCGACATTGACACCCCTCACGCAGATCGGCGGGGTCAGGGTCCAAAAACACATGGAATTTGCACAATGCCTAAATTCGGCAACACCCCTCACGCAGATCGGCGAAGTCAGGGTCGAACAACGGGATTTGCCACATGTCTGAAATTCGGCGGCGCCTCTCACGCAGATCGGCGGGGTCAGAGTCCAGAAACCAATGGGATTGTTACAGTTCTAAAATTCGATGGCACCCCTCACGCAGATCGACGGAGTCAGGTCGACAAAACCAATAGGGTTCGCCACATGTCTGAAATTCGGCGGCGCCCCTCACGCAGATCGGCGGAGTCAGGGTCGAAAAACCAATAGGATTTGCCACATTTCTGAAATTCGGCGGCGCCCCTCACGCAGATCGGCGGAATCAGGGTCGAAAAACCAATGGGATGTGCCACGTTTCTAAAAATTCGGCGGCGCCACTCACGCAGATCGGCGGGATCAGGGTCGAAAAACCAATGGGATTTGCCACATTCTCAAAAACAAATCGGCGACGCCTCTCACGCAGATCGGCGGGGTCAGGGTCGAAAAACCAATGGGATTTGCCAGATGTTTGAAAGTCGGCGGCGCCCCTCACGCAGACCAGCAGGGTCAGTGTCGAAAAACCCATGAGATTTTCCACAAGTCCGAAATTCTGTGGGAAACCTTAGTGCACAGCATACGGGGGCAGGTTCAAAATGCAACACTGAATAGAAAAACCTCATTAGAATCTCGGTTTCTCTTGCCGATGCTGCTTCACGGCGGCGCCGCGGCCTCATGATTGAGCTCCTGCATAGCCCAGTATCCGAGAGAGGGGGGGGCCGGCGGCAGGGGGCGAAGCCTTTACATACAATCACAAAAATCGTCCCCATACTATGTTTCTATTCTTTGTTCATATGTTTAAACTCGGGAATGGCCAAGAGGGGGGTGTCCAAGAGGGAAGGTGCAAATCATGACCGGCGGCACGTGCGCGGCCCAGCGGGGGGGCCAGGGACGTAATGAAACAAGAAGAGGCGCCATGAAATCTGGGGAAATATCATGGCCCCCGCCATGATATCTACCCCCCCCTAGTCATCACCCCCCTCTTTTCCGCCCCCGATAAACGAAGCCAGGGAGGAGGAGCGGAAGCGGCGGGAACGGGGCTGAGGCGGGCGAGGAAGGAGGACGGTCGGTCGGACTCGGCATCGCAACAGTCCGCGCGCCGTCTTGCTACTCACCAACAGGGGGACAGAGAGGGAGGAGGCAGGAGAGGGGGGGAGGAAGAGGACGAGGAGGAACGAGAGAGGTGGAGCAGGGAGAAGCAAGGCGGCCGGGGGAGGAGGAGGCCGATATGGGCGGAAGAGAGCAGCGTGCTCCCCTCCCCGCCATCGCCGTCGCCCGCATCAGCTCTCGGCGACGACCCAGGCATCCGACGTGGTGACTGTTTCGTAACGTGACTCCCCAGAAGTCTGGGACCCTTCCTTGGGACTGCCAGCTTTTCATCTCGAGTATACTCCACATACGCAGAGGCCGTCAGATAACTAGAACCAGAGTGAGGGAGGGAGGAACCGAACGGTCATTCATTGTCCTTGGGAGGCGTGGCTGAAGTGGGATTCCGTGGCCCGGATTATTGTTGTCTGCTATTGGTCGTTTGTCGTCTTCGTTCTCGCTCGCGACCCAACCCCGACCCACCCGCGGCCCAGTCCCGCGACCGACCAGTAACCCACCGACGACCCACCCCGCGACCCACCCGCGACACCTCTGCGCCTGCACCCTCACTCTTATCTCGGAGGTGGACAAACCTCTCTTTAGTAAACCACTCATTAATGAAAACAGCCTAGGACCGAAACCGCTGGACCTGGACCCGCAAAAATGACGGCCGCGACGCCCTCTCGCGAACCGAAAACGGCCAATTCGCTAATCGACGTGTCAGGGTAGGAGGTCTATCAACCTACGATTGTCCGCAACTGATGGGTGCTTCCACTACGCCGATGCCCCAGGCACCTCAGGCCGAAGGCCGCCGACCAAAACCTGGCGCCACGCCTGCCACGCGAGGTGGCATGGCTCTCGGGCCGCTCCTCTCGGGCCTCCTGTGGCCGCTCGCGGCTCGCGGGGCGGCCCAGTCACGCCCCTCGGGACGCTGCCGCATGAGGCAGCTGCTGGAAATGACTACCTACCAGACCACCCCAACCCAACCCGAAGACCCGCCCGAATTTCGGGTTTGGGGGGGGGGTACGAGTTCATATCTGTGTTTTTCCAATGTTCCCCGAACCCCCCCCCCCCCCGGAAATGGAGGGCAAAATCGGGGCCTTCGGGTTGGGTTGGGGTGGTTTTGGTGGGCGGTGAGGAAGAGGCGCCCCGAGGCTGGAGAAGCCCGAGGCTTCTCCAGCCTCGGGGTCTCCAGCCTCGGGGCTGGAGAGCCTCGGGCTTCTCCAGCCTCGGGGTTTTCGAACGTCTTAGGTGGCTCCTGGAGGCTCCAGGAGCCGACTAAAAACGTCCGAGAACCTCGAGCCTCTGCCACCCGCCGGTCTGCAAGAGCACCTGAGCCCTTCCCCAGGGGTAATTGCACCTGCCGGATCCATTGTTGATGGCCCTGGGGACCTTGAATGGACCCCGAGGGTCTAGATTTGAGGAATCGAAAGCTGCATCAACCTAATTCCTCAGGGGTCCGCTCGGATTTTTTGGATCGGCGCTGGGCCCTCCCTGGCGCGCAGAGCGCGCCAGCGAGCGCCAGGGGCGGCACCTCCAGCGCCGCCAGGGAGTCCAGCGCCGATCCATGAACTCCACGCGGACCTCCAAACATTCCTTTTGCAGTCCGATCCTCTCTTTGGTAAGTCACGAAAAACATCTGAATTGAACAACAACGCAGCGTCGGAGATCTGGTGATTGGCCAATCTTCCACCACCACTACTATAGATAGGACGGGGGGACGGGAGGACGGGGAGGTCCTCCTCCTCCTCCTGCTCCGCATCCTCCTCCTCCTGCTCCTCCTCCTCCCTCCTCCTCCTCCTCCTCCTCCTCCTCCTCCTCCTCTTCTTCATCCTCCTTCTCCCCCGCCTACTTATGGCAATGGTGGTGGAATATCGGTCCATATCTGGGGCACTCGAGCGGCGGCGGCGGCGGCGCTGGCAGCAGCGGCGGCTGCGGCCGCCGCGGCAGCCGCTGCGGGCAGCCCACGGAAAGGCCTCCGTCAGCTTCTCGACCGCGGCCGGGGGGGCGCGGTAGAGGTTCGAGGGCACGGGGGGCACCTGTCGCGAGGAGGAGGAGGAGGAGGAGAAGGAGGAGGAAGAGGAGGAGGAGGAGGAGGAGGAGGAGGAGGAGGAGGAGGAGGAGGGGGAGGAGGAGAAGGAGGAGGAGGAGGAGGCATGGCAGCTTCCCGGATCGGAAGATTGCCAGCAGCGTCAGCGTCAGAGGGAGGAGGAGGACGAGGAGAAGGCGGAGGAGGACGAGGGGGAAGAGAGGAAGTAGGAGCAAGCCAATACGACAGACATGTCAGGAAACAACACGTGTGAGGTCTTCGTCAGAACGATGAAGGGCTGGTAAGCCAGATTTTGGGACCATTACGCTAGACAAGACTTGAATGTGTGGGGGGTTGAGCTCAACCAATCAAGAGTACATGATTATGCAGCATTAGGCTGGAATTCGACCCCCGGTACACCAGCGCAGATGGTGAACTCAACCTCCTAGGATGAACAACCCACACGAATCTAAGCACCAGCACTGTAACAACACACATAACAACACCACGTGGGACATTACAGAACAAAACACCAAGCCTTAACATATCGAAGGTCCGCTCACAGTTCTTGGATCGGCGCTGGACTGGACCCCTTCCCAGGCGCGAGGAGCGCGCAAGGGGCAGCGCCCGCCAAGGGGGGGTTCAGCGCAGATCCGGCACGAAGCAGCACGGATCTCCGAGAGGTTATGTGTGTGACCTGTTCTTCTTGAGGGAGGAAGGGGAGGAGGAAAAGAAGAGGATCAGAAAGTACCTCCTCCCAGTAAGGCCTCGTGAGAACAATCAAGGACTATCGAGCCCGATTGGGGGGCTACTGGCCCGGCACCACGACAAGACGAAACTTTGACTTGTTTCCCCAACATTCGCGCGGTGGCTTGTTCGACTCTTCGTGTGCTCAACTGGCCACAGCCGTTCGTTTTCACAATCGTTGTCATCGCGTTCTAGCGCGCGCCATCTGAATTCTTTCTATCCGCCACCATGCCCGCACGGAGTGGGCATGTTAGGGTGCTTTTATGTTGTCTGCAAGGCTTTTCGTGTTTTGTAGGGCTGGCCCGCCTCTCATCGCCCAAAACAGTCAAGATCTACTCCATGGGGGGGAGAGAGAGAGAGAGAGAGAGGGGGGGGGGCGAGGGCCCACGCCGATGGGCAAAACAATGAATAGAAAAAAAGATCACGTGTTCCGCCCACGAGCAGAATCAACATGCGGGAGTACATTGCGCTCCGCGCCAGCGCGCAGACGCGCGCGCACGCGCACGGTCGCGAGAGAGCGCGGGCGCGACCGGGCACGGGGGTACGGGCCGCACGAGCGCGGGCACGCGCTCGGGACTGGCGGATCCGAAAACTTCCCAGCGCGCATTCGCTCCGCTGTTGTGTATAAGTTCTCCGCCGATGCCCCACTGGTCAGGGGTAGAAGGCGTGCAAGCTGTTTGGGTTGTCCCCTCTCCCCCGCTCCCCCTCCCCAGGAGTCCAGAATCTCGTTGGAGGGGGGGGGGGGGGCAGCGGGGGAGGGGAGTGGCGATCAGAGTATCCGAGTCCACCCTGCGTCGCCTCCGAGATGCCCGAAGATGTCCTCCACGATGGCTCGAGATAAGGGCCCCAGCGCGCCAGAGACGCCTCCAGAACGTCCCAGAGGGCTTCAACAGGGCACACGACCCCTCCAAGGCGCCCCAAGAGGGCCCCAAGAGGGCCCCAAAGAGGGCCTAAAGGGGCAAAAATCAGTGGTGCCGTGCTCCTTGTTCAATCATTTTCGCGCTCTCCTCTTCGGGATCGTGACCGTGGCCCGAGAGGCCTCCCAGACCAGCCCAAGAACCCCCAAAATGACGAACGAACAACACACACCCATACCCATAGGGGGGTCGTTGGGATTGGTATGGGTGCGGGTTGTTGGACCCTGGGGAACGCTCCCGTTCGAGCGGGGACCACCATCCGACAAAACGCACCCTAGCCATCTCCGACCCCCCTATGGGTGTGTGTTGTTGGCTCGTCACAAAGAGGACCCAGAGACTGCTCACGAGTACCCCAAGACGGGCCAAGACGCCCCCCCCCTTAGGCGGCCAACAGAACCCCTCAGGAGGGCCCGACGAGAAGCCCAAGGGGGGGAACTCGCAGGGTCCTCCGGAGCACTCCCCCTCAAGATGGCTCCCCGGACCCCCAGCATGCCCCCCAGACCACCCAAGAGGCAAAAAGAGATCCTCTTCTCTCTCTCTCTCTCTCTCTCTCTCTCTCCCCCTCTCCAAGCCGGCACGTCTGCCCGGCCTCTCCGCCCGGCTTCCCGGGTGGACAATCGCGAATGCTGCAGGATCGAGGAGGAGGAGGAGGAGGAGGAGGAGGAGGAGGAGGAGGGTCGAGGATTATCCAGGGAGACCGATGATCTTGGGGGATCGAGTATCGAGTAGGATCGACGATTTGGGAAAATCGAGAGCCTTGGAGGACGGCGAGACCGGGGATAGATGAAATCCGGTCTGGCCACCCTTTTCCGTTTCAAATGCAACAGGGCGACAGGTGACGGATCGTCACGTCCAATCCACTCGGACGGGATCCAAAGATCGCCTGATCGCTCCTCTCTTCCCTCCTTTCCCTGCTCATCATCCCTCTCCCCTCTCCTCCTCCCTCAGGGGTTGCCAACGGTGTCATTGGCAGAAACGGCCCCCAGCTTTTCGTCCCATTTTTGAAGCCTCCAGAACCATCTGGGCCTCGTGAGGGGGTGCTCAAGCGGGGTCACAACCTCCTTCCGGGTACGGACTGCCCCCGAACCCCGAGAACCCCCCAGGACTCCACCCGACGCCCAAGCACTTCCCAAACCTCCTCGATCACCTCTACGCCCTGCTCCGCGACCCCTCTGGTTTCCAGGCGGAGTTGGCACCCCTCCCTGTCGGATGAGGGCCTCCCGAGACGGCGACGGGCCTCCCGCCCGGCCCAGCTCCAACATCAAGACCCGCCCCCAAACCCCTCCCGGGGCCCAGCCGAACCCGTGCCTGGAAATTTGGGTGACCCAAGAGGGAGTGCAGCTGAGAGGGGGTAGTGCAGCAGATTTGGGGCAATTGGATTGCAAATGTATTGCGCCAGAGAGTTGTACTGCATTGCATTGCATTGCAAGGAATGCATTGCACGCGAAAACCCAGCAATACGCTTGCGCCCCGGAATGTACTGCACGCCCCAATTGCATTGCAATCCCACTAATATATTACACCAAATATATTGCACCACCCCCTTGTTTGAGCAGGGACCGACCGTCCCGGCATTCCTATAGGCCTACCACGAAATGTTCTTAACACCCAACATGTTCTAAGAACAAAAACAATGTTTTTTAAACATAAGCCCAATGTGTTAATACAAGACGTCCTCTGCCAGGGATGTTCTGATACCATTGCGTGGAGATCACAAAAACATGTTCTGAGAGCATTATTTGGCTGGCCTATAGGTGAGCTGGGACGCCTCGCCACTGCTTGACTTGTCGCTGCACCCACTTTTCTAGGGCTCCCAACTTCGCGCTTCGCGCTCCGCGAAGCGCGAATAACTTCACGCTCTCGCGCCGCCCCCCCAAAGGGAGAAAAGGAGGACGAGGAGGAGGGGGAGGAGGAACGCGGACCGCGAAGCGCGAAGCGCGAATAACTTCGCGCCCTCGTGGGAGCCCTTGCTTTTGGGGGTCGACCCGTGCCGGGAAGCAGGTCCCGCCGAGGGCGACGGGTGGAACCCTCTGCGCGAGGCCCGAGGCGGAGGGGAGAACACCTCGGTCGGCAGGGCCGCCGCGGCCTCGAGGGGCCGCCCTCCTCCGGCCCCGGGAGCGGCGTCCTCCCCCCGGGCGAGCGGGGGCGGGCCTCTCCTCGGCGAGCTCGAGCCGCTCTGCTGCTCCCATCGTCCTTAGTGAAGGGACCCTGGGACACACGAATGAATAGACACGAATAACAGGATCCCCCTTATTGTCCCATATGTTCTGGGTTTTGTCTTCCCCCCCACTTCCCATATTTTCCTATATTTTCTGGGGAATCATCGATTCATTGTGTCTGTGTGCTCTTTGTCCCTCCTGACTCTTCTCGACGAGCTCGAGCCGCTCTGCTGCTCCCATCGTCCTTAAGGACCACGTCCCAGAAAGAGTCTCGAGCACCCAGGCGAGTGTCGAAGCAGCGTCGAGCGAGTATCGCGTCCCAGGGCCCGACGCGCGAGAACCCTCAAATTCCGCTACTTTCTCGGTGCTCGAAATTCTTTCTGGTGACTAAGGCTAAAGTAGGTTGTAACGTCGTAAGAAGGCTCGAGGCGTGGACTCCCCCTGGGTAATCTGGGCAATCTGAAAAGATCTGAAGCCCTGCAGTGCAAAACGAAAGACAGAAGAAGAGACAGACTTGAGGGCCGCCACTCCCTGCCTCGCGTGGACTCCCCGCCCCCCCCGCCCCTCCGCCCGCCCCTCCCCCCCGACCAGAGCTCGCTCAAGACCCGCCCCCCCCCACGCCTTGGCATTGCGTTATAGCCACCTGGGTCGGGGACACCTCCGACATCAACCGGCTGCCCCGCGGGGGCGGGCGGGCGCAGCGGAGGCCTCCGGCCTGGGGCCGCAGCTGGGCGTGGTCGTCCTGCCCGACGGGGAGGACGTCGCCGTCCTGCCGATGGGGGAGGGGGCCCTTCCTCCTCCACGTTCTCCCTTTGTTCTGTCGTTCTGTCGTGTCTGTGTGTGTCTGTGTCTGTGTCCGTGTCTGTGTCTGTGTCTGTGTCTGTGTGTGTGTCTGTGTGTGTCTGTGTGTCTGTGCCTGTGTCTCTGTGTCTCTGTGTCTGCGTCTGCGTCTGCGTCTGCGTCTGTGTCTGTGTCTGTGTGTGTCTGTGTGTGTGTCTGTGTGTATCCAGCGTATCCCCGCTGCTTGAGCTGGGCCAGTGCGCGCGCTTCTGCGACCTGGTCTGAGCCGCGCCGCCGCGTGCGTGGCCGCGACGACAAAAAGCGTGGGCGTGTGCGTGTGCGTGTGCGTCCGCGTGCGCGTGTTCGTGCGCGTGTGAACAGTGTGTGTGTGTGAAGAAGAAAGAGAGGAATGTGAGAGTGTGAGTATGAAGGTGTGGAAGTATGAACATGTGAGTGTGAGGGCCTGCGAGTATGAGAGTGCGAGAGTGACAGAGTGTAAGAATGTTAGAGTGTGAAGGTGTGAGAGTGTGCGAGTATGTCAGCGTGAGAGCTTGAGACTGTGAGAGGGTGAGTTTGTGCGAGTGTGAGAGTCTGAGTGTGAGAGTGTGTGAGTGTGAGTGCGAGTGTGGGTGCGAGTGCGAGTGTGAGAGTGAGCGGGAGTGTGAGTGTGAGTGTGAGTGTGTGAGCGTGTGAGTGTGAGTGTGAGTGTGTGAGTGTGTGAGTGTGTGAGTGTGTGAGTGTGTGAGTGTGAGTGTGAGTGTGCGAGTGTGTGAGTGTGTGTGTGTGTGAGTGTGTGAAAGTGTGAGTGTGAGTTTGAGTGTGAGTGTGAGCGTGAGTTTGAGTGCGGGTGTGTTTTGTGAGTGTGAGTGTGAGTTTGAGTGTGTGAGTGTGAGTGTGTGTGCGGGTGTGTGGGTGGGTGTGTGGGTGTGGGTCGGTGTGTTTGTGTGTGTGTGCAGGCGTGTGCTGTGTGCGTTGGGTTGTGTTTTGTGTGCTGTGTGTTGTGTGTTGTGTGTTGTGTGGTGTGTCTTCTGTGTTGTGTGTGCTGTGTGTGAGCGTGTGTGTTCTGTGTTGTGCGTTGTGTGTGTTGTGTGTTGAGTGTTGAGTGCTGTGTGATGTGTGCTGTGTGTTGTGTGCTGTGTCGAGTGAGTGGTGTAAGTTGTGTGTTGTATGTGCGTGCGTGTGCTGTGTGTGCTGTGTGTTCTGTGTTGTGTAATACGTGGGGTGTGCGGTGTGTTGTGTGCTGTACAGGTGTGTGTGTGCGCGTGTTGTGTGTTGTACGTTGCGCGGTGCGAGTGTGTGTGTGTGCGTTGTGTTTGTTGTGGTATGTCTTGAGGGTGTTAGAGGGAGCCGCCCTACGCCGCGCCAGAGAGCACGTTGCCGCGACGCGAAAAGTGTGGTTTCGTGTGTGGTTGTGTGTTTGTGTGTAGTGTGTTGCATGTGTTGTGTTTGTGTTGTGTGGTTGTGTGCTGTGTTGTGTTGTGTTGTGTGTATGGGAGTTGCCCTGCGCCGCGCCACCGCGCATGTGGCCGCGACGCCATACATGTGTATAGGTGTGGTGGTGTTGTGTGCTCTGTGTCTGGTGCGCGCGTGTGGTGCGTGGTATGTGCGTTGTGTATCGTGTGTGCGGAGAGCGAGAGAAAGAGAGAGAGTCACCATGCGCCGCGCCGCCGCACGCGGGGCCGCGACGCCAAAAGTGTGTATGCGTGTGCTTGTGTGTGCTTTGTGTTGTGTGTTGTGTGTGTGTGTTGTGTGTTGTGTTGTGTGTGTGTGTGTTGTTGTGTGTGTGTGTGCGAGAGTTGCCCTACGCCGCGCCACCGCGCGCGTGGCCGCGACGCCAACAGTGTGCGTGGGTGTGTGTGTGTGTTTGTGTTTGTGTGTTGTGTTGTGTGTTGTGCGTATGTTGTGTGTTGTGTTGTGTGCGATAGTTGCCCTACGCCCCGCCACCGCGCGCGTGGTCGCGACGCCAAAAGTGTGTGTGTGTTTGTGGTTTTATGATTGTGTGTCTGTCACGCGCAGCCCCCGACGCTACCTGATCCTCCCCGAGCCTCGCTCCGTCGACGGCCACACCTTACACCCCGAGCAAGACAACACTGCGCGCTGCGCACTCGCTCTCCCCGGTCAGTCCCAGTTCTGAGCGCGCGCCTGCCCCGCACGACCCCCAAGCACGCACTACGAAGGAAGTCATTCACGGTATCGAAGCGCCACCGTTCGTTCCCTTCTCCGTGGCAGCCCTCTTCTGCCCCCGGCCGGTTTGTGCTCAACTCGCCGAGTAGCACCCCCGCTCAGACTACGCGGTTGTCAACGCAGCGACCAGCAAATGTGTGTACGGTCCTCTATGTGCTATCTCTCCTAATTTCCTGTTCCGCTGTGCGCCCGCCTGACGTGTTCTGCCCTCTGTCGGCCGAATCATGTTCGCCGCCGCGCCTCCACACAAATTGACAATTGTTTTCCAAGTGCCCCCCGTGGTAGATGTTACCGCTAGTGTGAACTCACCAGCGCAACGGAGGAAAAAAGTTGTTGTTGTTGGTGTTGTTGTTGGTGTTGTTGTTGCTGTTGTTGTTGTTATTGTGTGTCTGTGTGCCTGTGTGTGTCTGTGTCTGTGTGTCTGTGTGTCTGCGTGTCTGTGTCTGCGTGTCTGTGTCTGTGTGTCTGTGTGTGTCTGTGTGTCTGTGTGTGTGTGTCTGTGTCTATCTGTGTCTGTGTGTGTCTGTGTGTGTCTGTGTGTGTCTGTGTGTGTCTGTGTGTATGTGTGTATGTGTGTGTTTGTAGGTGCGCACCCTCCTTGGGGGAGGAGACCAAGCCATGGAGAAATATGTTGCACCTTGGGGCGGGGCCATCGCTCCACTGTCCGCGTCGAGTCCGCGTCGAATCACAAGTCCTGGACCGAATCCGCGTCGAATGCACAACAAACCCACGCCGAATGCCCGTCGACGCCGTGTCGAATACCACAAGTGGGCAGTAAGTTTTGGGGCAGATGCAGTCCCCAGAACATGCAACGCAAGCAGGTGCGGTCCAATGTCCGATGGCTAAGCTCAGGGAAACCCTCGACCTTTGACTGAGAAGCACGCGGCTCCGTGCGAATCGATCGAACTGCACGTTTCGTAGAATTCGAGGCCCAGAATTGGTTTGGTTGTTGTTCGTGTGAGCAGCGGGAGCAATGAAACAGCTCCCGCTAAGAAGAAATGGATGCCACTAAAGATGCTTGTCGAACGCTGACTCATCCAGTGCACATTCCTTCGGCGATGTAATGGCACACGCACTGAAAGACAATGGTCGGTTTCTCCCCTTCAAAAAAAAACGCATCTCAACACTGCGGCCGTGGCTCTGAGCACGGATAGGGTACATTCAAGGTGACCTGTGACATCCAGCTAACCCTCGTTCGAAGTAGTAAGCCCAACGATACCGTCAACTGCGCAATCAAGATGTTGTGACGACCCCGGTGAAACGGGAAATCGTTACTGAATCAAAGTCACACCTGGCCCTTTGTGTAGACCAAAACAACGAACCACGGAAGAAGATGCAACGTGATCCCAGACCGCAGTCCCACAATCCCCCCAGATGTGTGAATGATGTGCGCAACTGGTGCCAGCACGCGAGCACAACAACCCCGCCGAGGTGTAGCCGATATGTAAACGTAGCCCCTTCGAAAGACTGGGGAGATGATGCGACGAATATGAGAAATGCAAATAACATGGACAGGGGATAATGAAATAGAGGGGGAAGACCCGGCGTGCGAATAACCAATTGCCCTACATGCCAGGATGATACTACATTGCCAAGCCAACGCGGCGTCGACCACGCGCGCAAAAAGGCTGGGCACGGCATACAAATGCAAGTGATCGTACGCATCATCGACTAGATATTTGTACACCGACCTGCGTGGGGGTATGTGATTACAAGCGGCACCAATGTCAGGACATCGTGTGGATCACAGGTAGACCGGCACGCGCCTGTAGCGTCCTGTTGCCGCTGAAACGTTAATTTCCTGTTTGCACCGTTCGCATACCGCATACCCTAATGTGATTTGCCTCCTTCACCCCCCGGGCGGCAATGGACAACGCGCCCGGGAGACAATGCAAATGCGATACAAGCACGCTTGGGCACGGTCAGTCCTTGTTACACGCAGCCGTTGTCGACCGTCCTTTTCTGTGCTGGTTGTGGTTGTGGTAGGCCTCGTCGAACCAGTGGTGGTAGGCCTCACTGAACCAGTGGTGGGTCTCACGCCCTTGCGCCGTGCGCCGGGCACCCCGCCTCCTGAACACTCCCGGCCATTTTCTCCCAGTGCAGCGTCTTCCTCCTTCTCTGACCAATGGCCCACACCAGCCCTGCCCAGGCTTGTCCTCCCGTTGGCAATCAATCCAAAAACGCGTTCACACCCCAACTGGGGAAATACAGCCGTGTCCAGACCCCTACTCCCCAGAGCTTTCCCTGCTGTGCGATTTGACCTAGACTTCGAGGCGACTCCAGCCGTGGCGACAAGGGCCCCCAAACAGACCCCAAAAGTTTGCAACGAAAACGAAGACGTGCAAATGTTTTTGAAGCCTATAATATGAATCATTGCCCCTGGACCTCCTGGACGGTTTCCCCCGGGGCCGTAGGCGACCCGAGGAGGGGAGGGCGAGGAGGGGGAGGAGGAGGGGGAGGAGGAGGGGGAGGAGGAGGAGGAGGAGGAGGAGGAGGAGGAGGAGGAGGAGGAGGAGGAGGAGAGGCATGAGCTGGTTTCGCTGGCGCTGGTTTCGCCGGCGCTGGTTTCGCCCCGCTGGTTTCGCCGACGGCTAGCTTCGCCGGCGCTGGTTTCGCCGGCGCTGGTTTCGCCGACGCGAGCCCTAACCGGCGGGTCGGGTCGGGAGGGCAGGCCCTAACGGGCGGGTCGGCGAGGGTCGGGCGGGCGAACCCCAACGGGCGGGTCGGGTCGGGCAGGCAGAACATGAAAGTGCGGGGCGCGCTCGACCGAGCACGCGCGAACCCTAGCAGGCGGGTCGGGTCGGGCGGGCGGACCCTAGCGGGCTCATCGGGTCGGGCAGTTTCGCCGACGGCAGCTGGTTTCGCCGACAGCAGCTGGTTTCGCCGACAGCAGCTGGTTTCGCCGACAGCAGCTGGTTTCGCCGACGGAGCTGGTTTCGCCGGGCGGCGAAACCAGCCGGGCGAAACCAGCCCGGCGAAACCAGCCGTCGGCGAAACTAGCGGTCGCCGGAGGAGGAGGAGGAGGAGGAGGAGGAGGAGGAGGAGGAGGAGTGCGCCAGAGCCGAGGGACGGCCGGTTCGAGAGGGCGTTTTTAGCTCCCACCACCCCCATTCAGCAGACCGCAGACCCCGACGTCCCCACAAGGGAAGGGAGGGGAGGGGGGCAGAAGCTAGGAACGCCAGCAGCGGCGGCGGCCGCGGGCGCGGGGCGAAACGGCCCCTCAAGGACGCCGAATACGTCGACGTCGGCGAACAGCACCAGCATGTGCCACGCCCAGGGCCGCGCAACCCGTTCCGCTGGGTAAAGGGCCGCCTGGAACAGGCGCTCTCCCCAGTGGCTGAGGTACTCAAAGAAGACGAGCCCCCAGCACATATTGATCCCAGACACCCCACAGGGCCAGGGCCGAATAATATTCAGAGCAGAATCGACCGCAGCAGCAAAAGGGCTACCACTCCGAAAACAGTTCCTCATCTTCATCATCGGCATTGCTAACACGAACGGGCTCACCAAGAGCCAAAAGAACATCAAACTCCAGACCATAATCCTGCAGCAAGGCTACGGTGTCCAGGGGCCTCGACGGTTCAACACGAACTTTCTTTCGAGGCCTCGAAAGGATGGTGCCCAAAAGCGGGTCCCTCCAGGATTGCGCACGGCAAGTGGCCCTCCTCGTGCTCTCGCTGGGCCTCCTGGAATGCAGCAGTACCCAATGTTTCTTCACCGACCGAGGGTGTCCGAGGTTCACAACATGACGCGAGTTCTCCGACACCCTCCCGCTCCCACGGTGCCTGCCACGACACACATGGTCAAGCCCGTGGTGATTCCGGCTCCCAGTGTCCGTGTACTTACAGCAAGCCGTGCAGAAAACCAAAGAAGAGCCTTGACCATCCACAGGGCACTCCAACAGCGAGTGCCCATTGATGAGCCACGGCCATGGGAGGTCTGCCTCGCGGGCCGCCGCGTCCTGGACAGGTGCAATAGCGCTGTCCTCGTCCGCGTCAGGAAACACATAGTCTCTCATGACCTCGTCCTGCTCATAATACCACACCTCGAACTTGGCAATCTACCGCAGCAGTTCTGAGAGGAGCCTGTGAGCACCTCTCGCCAGCTTGACCAAGGTGGGGTCTGCACGATTGAAAGATGCTCCAGCCTTGGCCAAGTCGTCCGCTTCAGCACTGCCATCCCGATCGAACTGAGAAATGACCCCATCTCTGACGTCCACAATCGACGAATGAGCCTTGACGTGGTGGACTCCAGCTTTGCAGAAATCCTCCGCTCCAGCCGTTCGTCGCCACAAGTGTGCACGTAATGTGCTGTGTCCCGCTGCTGATTCCAGGCGATGGCAACAGAGAACCGACTATGCTAATTCACTTCGCGCGTGCGCGCCGCGCCCCGCGATGCGCGACGCGCGGTTGTCTTCGCGCCCCCGCGCCACTCCCTCTGAGAGGGGCGACCTCTCCGACCCGGACCGCGACGCGCGCAGCGCGCGCATCTCGGCGCCCCCGCGGGTGGCATTGGCCCTCCCTCTGTCGGAGCATGACCCAGAGATCCGATGTCTTGACCCTTCCTCTGCGGGCTCCCAGAAATCTGGCCCCCCTCCCAGAGCTCGGCGTCTCATCCTGAACTTCGTTTCTGCCGACGGTCCTGGGGCCGGCCGAGGGCCTCCAGGGGCGGAATACGGCGAAACCATGTCCGACTTGTGTTTTTTTATCACGCTGGATCTCTGGGGATCCGCCTCCGCGAGCCCTCGCACCCCGATCGGCGGCGAGCGAAGGGGGGACGTGAGAAGAGGAAGGCCTGCTCAGAGGGCGCGGAAGTCCCCCCCGGGCCTTCTGAGAACCTTTCAGAGCCTTTCCCGAAGGCGCCGAACACTTCGCAGAAGGCGCGAGGGCTGCTGGGAGGCCCCGCCGCCTTCTCAGTAGGCCTCTTCCTTCTCATGTCCCCCCCCGCCGACCCGACCCCCTTGCAGCGCGCAGGGCCTCGTGGTGGGCCAGGGAGGAGCCTGGGCACGGCGCGCCGGGGCGACGCGAGGCCCGTGCCCTAGCCCCGCGCGCTAAGGAGCCCAGGGGCAGCGAGGCAGGAGACGACGTCACGACGACGAATGACACGGGCGGAGGTCCTCGCGCTGGGATCCAAGTCTGACTGGGATCGGGACACGGTCGGGGACTTTTGCTCAGCGTGTCGCCAGAGGCAGCCACAGCGACGGGTTTCTGCCATCCGCAGTGCGCCCTGAGGAGGAGCAAGCGGAGGAGGAGGAAGAGGAGGAGGAGGAGGACGAACAGGAGGAGGAGGAGGAGGTGGAGCAGGAGGAGGAGCACAAGGAGGGGGGAAAACGCAGCCGAATCAGTCAGGCGCGCCCGGGCGCGCAGCGGGAGCGCCTCGCGCAATCCAACGACACGCGATACCCCGCGAGCGGACAGCGTGTCGCTCCGCTCTGCGGGGCGGGAGGCTCGGAAATGCTCGGGACGTTAACGCTTTGACGTGGATAGCGCGTCGCGCCGAAGCGAGGTGGGCCAGAACCAGCGGCGCGACACGCTAAGCCAAAGTGCCTGGCCGCAGAAACGCAAATCGGAACGGGACTGCAACCAGGAACGAGAGCGGACGCGGGCTCGGAACTGTCACCAGGGTTGGAGGTGGAGCTTAGGCTGGAGCTGGACTGGCAAGCGCCACGGCCGAGGGGGAGGGGGAGGGGGAAGAGGAGGGGGAGGGGGAAGAGGAGGAGGAGGAGGAGGAGGAGGAGGACGAGGACGAGGAGGAGGAGGAGGAGAAGGAGGAGGACGACGACGACGAGACCGACGAGGAGGAGGAAGAGGAGGCGGAGGAGGAGGAGTAGGAGGAGGAGGCGGAGGGGGAGGGGGAGAGGGAGGAATTCGCTGGAATTCGCTGATATCCACACGGCGGCAGCGAACTCAGCCAACAAGGGCCCCAGGTGGCGGCCCACGGAGGACGGCCTCCCGCCTGACAATGCCAAGCTCCCTGACTAGAGACGCCTTGGACGGCCCCTGGTGGCTGGGGGAAAAATTACGCTGGCGACGTACCCGACCCTGGCGCAATGCGGGGCATACGTACATCAGGATTGCTACAACGGGGGCGATGACGTAACATGGACGCATGTGATTTTGCGAGCAGCAATCGGAAAGCTCGCAAGCCACCGATCAAGATATACGGGCTACGCAATAACAAATCACCCTCGTTGGCTGTGCCATGCGCCCGTTGCGCCTAACGTATCCCACAGCAGCTCCCCCCTCTCTCTCTCTCTCTCCAGAGCCCCCCAGGGACGGCGAGGTCTCGCTCAAGTTCCCGCTGTGCCTCAGTCCGCGGGACCCACTAGCAGCCCTCGAAAGTTGCGACATTGTCGCAAATCGCAGCCGCCCCAGGGACGGCGAGGTCTCGCTCAGGTCCCCGCGGTGCCTCACTCCGCTGGGTCCAACAACAACCCTCGAAAGTGACGACAGCGTCGCAGATCGCAGCCCCCCAGGGACAGCGAGGTCTCGTTCAAGTCCCCGCGGTGCCTCACTCCGCTGGACCCACCAGCAGCCCTCGAAAGTGGCGACCGTGTCGCAAATCGCAGCCCCCCAAGGACGGCGAGGTCTCGCTCAAGTCCCCTGCGGTGCCTCACTCCGCAGGACCCACCAGCAGCCCTCGAAAGCGGCGACCGTGTCGCAAATCGCAGCCCCCCCAGGGACGGCGAGGTCTCGCCGCGGTGCCTCGCTCCGCTGGACCCACCAGCAGCCCTCGAAAGTGGCAACAGTATTGCAGATCGCAGCCCCCCAGGGACGGCGAGGTCTCGCTCAGGTCCCCGCGGTGCCTCACTCCGCAGGACCCACCAGCAGCCCTCGAAAGTGGCGACAGCGTCGCAGATCGCAGCCTCCAGGGACGGCGAGGTCTTCTCAGGTCCCCGCGGTGCCTCGCTCCGCACGACCCACCAGCAACCCTCGAAAGTGGCGACAGTTTCACAGATCGCAGCCCCCCAGAGACGGCGAGGTCTAATTTGGGCCTGCGTGTGGCCTCACTGTGCTGCCCCCCCCAGCAGGCCTCGAAAGTGGCGACAGTTTCACAGATCGCAGCCCCCCCAGGGAT